GTTCCCGCCGGGAACAACACGACAGCCCCGGTGCCCGTTCCCGCCGGGAACGCCGGGTCACCTTCTCGCCGGTCATGGCGAAGGGCGCGTTGAACCACTGCTCGAAGGTGCTGCAGCTCTTGAAGATGGTGGGCAGCAGGAAGTTGAGCAGGGCCCAGAGCTCGGGCAGCTTGTTCTGCAGCGGGGTCCCCGTCAGCAGCAGCCGCCGCGGGGCCACGTAGTGGGTGTTGAGCACCTGGGTCAGTTTGCAGTGGTGGTTCTTCATGCGGTGCCCCTCGTCCACGATCATGTACTTCCAACGGATCTGCGGGGCAGGGAATGGTGGGAATGGTGGGAATGGTGGGAAACAGCATTACCCTAACCCTGACCCATACCCTGACCCTAAACTGTAACCCTAACCCCGACCCTGGGTCAGTTTGCAGTGGTGGTTCTTCATGCGGTGCCCCTCGTCCACGATCATGGACTTCCAACGGATCTGCGGGGCAGGGAATGGTGGGAATGGTGGGAAACAGCATCACCCTAACCCTGACCCATATCCTAAACCCTAACACTAAACCCTAAACCCTAACCCCGACCCTGGGTCAGTTTGCAGTGGTGGTTCTTCATGCGGTGCCCCTCGTCCACGATCATGGACTTCCAGCGGATCTGTGGGGCAGGGAATGGTGGGAATGGTGGGAATGGTGGGAATGGTGGGAATGGTGGGGCACAGCATCACCCTAACCCTGACCCTAAACCGTAACCCTAAACCCTAACCCCAACCCTGGGTCAGTTTGCAGTGGTGGTTCTTCATGCGGTGCCCCTCATCCACGATCATGTACTTCCAGCGGATCTGCAGGGCAGGGAATGGTGGGAATGGTGGGAATGGTGGGAAACAGCATCACCCTAACCCTGACCCTAACCCTTACCCATACCCTGACCCTAAACTTTAACCCTAAACCCTAACCCCAACCCTGGGTCAGTTTGCAGTGGTGGTTCTTCATGCGGTGCCCCTCGTCCACAATCATGTACTTCCAGCGGATCTGTGGGGCAGGGAATGGTGGGAATGGTGGGAATGGTGGGAATGGTGGGGCACAGCATTACCCTGACCCTGACCCTAAACTGTAATCCTAACCCTAACCCCGACCCTGGGTCAGTTTGCAGTGGTGGTTCTTCATGCGGGGCCCCTCGTCCATGATCATGTACTTCCAGCGGATCTGCGGGGCAGGGAACGCCGGGAATGGTGGGAATGGTGGGAATGGTGGGAATGCTGGGGTGTGGCAGTGTGGGAAGCGCCCCAGCACAGCCGGGAGATCCCTGAGCCGGGAGATCCCGAAATGTCCCACAACACCTCTGGGAGGTGTCCCGGAGATCCCAAAACATCCCACAAATCCTCCGGGAAGTGTCCCGGAGATCCCTGGGCTGGGAGATCCCAAAACATCCCACAAATCCTTCGGGAAGTGTCCCGGAGATCCCTGAGCTGGGAGATCTGGATATGCCTGGAATGTCTCACAACACCTCCGGGAGGTGTCCGGGTGATCCCTGAGCTGGGAGA